GCATAGTCGACTCAGGTCCTTGTGTTACTTCTTGGGTCATGACTTCATTCTTTGAGTTCTTGTGTTTAGTTATCTTGGATATATTTTGATTCTTCTTTACTTCGTCTTCTGAGTGTTTACTTTCTTCTAATTTATTCACTCTTCCACTTTCTTCCAACACAGTAGCCATCTCCACCACTGTTTCTTCTTCTTCTTTCTTCTTCTCCTGATTCTCTCCTGCTGCTGCTGTTCCTTCCACGGAGAGTTCTTGAAAGTAAGGAAATGTCGGTCGTCTTAATGGCGGTGAACTCCCAAGGTCTGCCCAGAAGTCTATCACCTCTTCTTCTTTATCTTCTGTTTCCTTAGCCACTGATTCCTTTACGTTCTTCCCATCTTCATCTTTCTTCTCTGTCTCCTCTGTTTCTATTATTCCTGTAGTTATTTCACTTATTTGACTTTCTACAGGTATGATATTTACCCTTTCAATATGATTCTCTTTTATATTTTTGTTACTTTCTCCTCCTACGTATTCAGGGTCGTTCTTCTCTACGGTGTTTACCTGAGGAGTGTTATTGGATCCAGGTTCACTGTTATCGTCCGCCGCCGCTGCGTACCTTTGTAAATATTGTCCGTATCTTGGCCTCACAGGTGGAGAGGCTTCCCATTGTGACCAGAAATCAATAACGTTATCACACTGTTCCTCTGCTGTTTTCCCAGAGTCGGCTTCTATATCGCCTTCTTCAGAGTGTTCTTTAGTGACACCAGTATCAGTTTCATGGTCTGTAAGAGTCTCTAGAACATCACTCGGTTTAAGATCGTCTCCATATGTTTCTTGTAACATTTCAAGTAATTCTTCGATTTCCTTATCTTCCTCTTCCCTCATCTTCATCTTTTCTTTATCTTTCGTCTGCTTGTCTTCGGAAGAATCGACATCAACATCATCTACTTGAGTTAGAATGTTCATAGGAGTAGTGTTTTCATTCTCACCACCAACACCACCATCAACCAGCCACCAAGCGTTGCTACTCCTTTGCCCACCGGAACCATCAACTCCGCCATTACACCCTTCATTATCAAAGGCTCCAGTAACGCCATCATCAACAACAACTTCTGGCGACCCTCCCTGAGTGTTAGAGTGATTCCCTTTGCCACTACTATTCTCGGCTCCTGCGACTTCCATAGTCTTAACTACACCTGGGCTGGTTTCTGCGTCTCGTGCCTCGGTGACGGTCGGGGGAGGAGGTTCAGCCTTCAACAGGGCCTTAGCAGGAGGGTCCTGTCGAGTATGTGAACCAGGGATGTGTGGAGTATCTGAATGGGTACTGTTTACATATGATAACCGTAGGGGGTATCTGAATGGGTACTGTTTACATATGATAACCGTAGGGGGTATCTGAATGGGTACTGTTTACATATGATAACCGTAGGGGGTATCTGAATGGGTATTGTTTACATATGATAACCGTAGGGGGTATCTGAATGGGTATTGTTTACATACATTAACCGTAGGGGTTATCTGAATGGGTATTGTTTACATACATTAACCGTAGGGGGTGTCTGAATGGGTACTGTTTACATATGCTAAACCGTATGGAGTATCTGAATGGGTATTGTTTACATATGCTAACCGTAGAACCGTAGAGGTACCTGAATAACTAATCTGTTAATTGGATGTACAACAAATTATCCTGTATATCATAATCTAACAGCTCAGGTACCAACAGCTACCTGAGTCGCCTGTACTAACTCCTGACACGGGTCTCTAACGCTCTCTCAGTGATCATTTCTTGTAATATAAAGACAGACCGGAAAAAAACAAATAATTCATGACAAAAATAATGTTTGTGTATGATTTAATTTTCTTTGTAAATTCTAATCGTTTATAATTCTGACTTATTTATGAGTTTATGAATGATTATGATTTATATTGAGTTATATTAAGTTTGTATATAAATTTAATAATGGAATAATCTTAATTTTAGTTTTTATATAATTTTTTTATGGATATATAATAACTGTTTGGATTTCAATGTGAACTTAGTTATTAAGAATTAAAATTTCAGCCTTTTATGTATTAAAAAAATATATATATTGGTAGAGAATACTTGATCTATAGTTTAACTGGAATGTGTATTTCTTCTCCTAAACAAACTGAGAATTAAAAACACCAGCAAATTGGGTCGAACGTCGATAAAAAAACACACCGACTAGTAGAGGCAACACTCATGAGCTGGGGTGGAATGTATGTGTCCAGAGCCTGAATAATGTATAATGTATGACGGATTGGCTGTAGTCACTTTGTCTACATATTAACGCGAGTATAACGTTGAGAATGTGTATGAATATATGAAAATAATTTATATATATATACAGTAACACGCCTAATTACCCTCGAGTATATTGTCAACTGATATACACAACTATATAAATGTACATATATACCCACAAATATATATAGATATTTGTTTATGTATGCGGTTCTATTATATAAGAAAGCCTATAGAAGGTCATTGATGTGTTTGTCTTTGTAATATTTACCAAGTCGAAGGTTTATCCCACACAGACCATCGACTTGGACCTAACACCTACAGTAAACACAATAATTGGAGAAAAAAAATAATAAAATACATATTGTAAGGTTACATTATAAAAATCTGATGAAAATAAATAATACAATGAATTTCTTTTGATCAACCCGGAAATTTGAACTTATATCTATATGACCCGTATTCAAGGTAACTCATTTACATCGCTCAATTACGTGTTATATAATCAAGTTTTAGAAATTTTGGGTGATTTCTACTTAAGCTGTATTATCAATCTCTATAATTGGTATGAAATATGTCATCCAGTTCGTGAAAACAAGGAAGAGGTTTGCAATTATTGGTGGAGATATGAGACCTGTGGTGTAATGCCATAATCTGATACATGCCGTGATTTTTAACCTCCAATTAACGAGCTTTCTTGAGTAGGAGGAAAATGATGTCACTTAAGTCTCCACCAACAACTAAGCTTCTTCCTAGTAAAGAACATGCGTCACTCTCCAATTCAGTAACAAGATCTACTTATGGAGATGGAGATTTGACGTCATTCCTCATGCCCCCAATAAGAAAATCTGTTTATGGAGATGTAGTTATGACGTCATTCTTCACTCTCCAATAAGAAAATCTGTTTATGGAGATGTAGTTATGACGTCATTCTTCATGCCCCCAATAAGAAAATTTGTTTATGGAGATGTAGTTATGACGTCATTCTTCACTCTCCAATAAGACGACCTACATGGAGGTGAAAATATGACGTCATTATTCTTTTACACAATCAGAGCCTCTTTGATCTTCACAGAACTGGTGATTAGAACTTGAGGATATTTATAACGAACACTGAATACGGTTCATGACATGCAAATTTTTCCTTAATAAACAGCTAAAACAGTTCAGTATAACATTAACATTAGACCTTGACACCGATAAAATAACTCAATAATACAAACAAACTTGAAATAATATAATACACCTGAAATTAGACTTCAATTAATGATGTCAATTTACGTGAGAGAATAATAATAAAGGAAATACTTAAGCCAAAACAGCGGATGAATCGTAATATTAAAACTTGTGTTATAAATTAATCAGTTAAGCGCCACTACAGTACGTTTTCTATGGAGGATTGAAGGGGGTGACTGCGACACACAGACCTGCGTGAGGAGAACCCGTTTCGTGAAGACTAAGATTATTTACCTTAAGAACGAGAGAGATAGATAGATAGAAATAATAAATAGAACGAAATATAATAAAAGAAAGATAAGTGCCGAGGAGAACTAAAGTTTTTGTAAAGATGAAGGGAGAAATCATATACGGATTTTACTTAAAAAACAAATAATTTGCCCTAAAAATCGAAATTTAAATCATTAAGAGTAATGGATGAAAGAGAAGCTTTAATAAATAGTTAAAGATGATATTAAATGCAAGAATAAAGTTACAAATAAAATACAAGTAAAGAAACTAAGATTTATATTTAGAGAAACGATTTCCCATTAAAAACTTTGAATTTAAATAACGATAAATATTTGTTTGGTAAAAAAAAAATGGAAATAGGAAAATTAAAATGACAATATATAATAAATGATATAACTAATTATTAAGCAAAATGGCACCAAAAAATAGGGAATTTACGTTAAAAAATGCAACAAAAATAAATTGAAAATTACGAAGTGGAGGGAAAAAATATTACCCCTTGTGAGTAATTGAATATACCAAATAAGGTAAAATAAAAATATATAAAAAATGATCATTAAATTTACCTGTAAAAATCGAAAGTATAATTAGCAAAATATATTAAATTACGATATAGAGGAAGATACAAAGGACAGAAAAGGTTTAAAAATATTTATTGATGATGCAAAGCGAAAAAAAAGAGGAAAAGCAAAAGGATGATAAATGTAAACAAAAGGTAAAGATGCAATAAAGACGAAGGGGAAGAAGAAGGTCGAGAAGAACAAGAAAAAAGACGGATTATTCTCACCCAAGACCCAAGAGAAGAAACACAACAACAACAAATAAATTGAAAGAAATTAATCCACAGCGTTAAAATTTCTTCCTCAAATGACGTGTTTATTCTTTGATTTTTTTTTTATCCGTTCATACGTCTGGTAGCGGCGATGGTCTTGGCGCCAGTGTGAGCGAGGTGGTCCTAAGAGGTAGTAAGCCTTTGATAGTCCTGAGAGAGAGAGAGAGAGAATTCAAACGTCGAGTGGCCTAAAAATAATAAGTTCTCACAGTCGTGTTAGAGAACTTCAGTAGGGCCATCTTAGAGAGCTTCTCCCGAGGCCATCTCAAAAAACCCAGAGATCCATCTTGGAGAACCTCAAAGAACCATCTCAAAAGACTCACTGAACCAACAATGGGAAGAACCACTCAGAACCCTTAGAACTATCTTAAAGAGCCTCATAGGACCGCCTCGCACACTCCTGGCTACCGAGTTGGCTGTTGTATCGCTGGAAAACAAGAACTGGTGCGTCTTACCTGTTGGTCGGCTAGAAGGATTTGCTGTGGGGTGGGTGACGAGGTGGTGGGGGCCTGTTTCTGCTCTGCTGCAGCACGGGATTCCTCTACCTGCTCTAGAGTAACTCCTTTTACCGTTTCCTTAGCGGAGGTTGGAGAAGCTCCCTCACTAGGACGGCCTGACTGCACGGGGATGTCGTCCTCCTCCTTAACGGCCCAGAAGTCTAGCTCCTCGACGACTTCCTTTAGCGGCTGAGACTCGGGTTTTTGTCTCTTAGCTGGAGGGGAAGGCTCTCTCTCCAGGAACTCTTGAGACTCTTTGGCGAGTTTTTCAAAGAGCTCTTCGTCTTCAGGGAGGTCCTCGTATTCTTGGACCTCCGGGACGGGTGAGACGATTCCTGCGTCTTCCTCGTCAATGTCTTGTGACACAACACGGAGTTCGTCGTCGAAGAGTAAGTCCTCGACTGATGCTGTGAGGGAGGAGGAAGAGGAGACACGTGAGGGAGGAGCTAAACACGTGTAAATGTTTAACTGATAAGAATAAAACAATCAAGAGGTCACAGAGAAGAATAAACAATGTTGCTTGACAAAATGGCCCTAAATGTTGCTGCCAACCTAACCTAACCTACTTAACCTAACCTAACCAAGAATAACCCAAGATCATTAGGTTAGGGTTGGTTAGGTTATTTTAGGTTTGTTTTCATCGTTTACTGATGTGAAATTATTTAGCTTCACAATCTCCAAGACGATAATAAAGAGACCAGACCCTTGATATATAAGATGGCGACCCTTCTCTAAATCTTCACCAATAATAATAATAATAATAATAATAATAATAATAATAATAATAATAACACAACTACCACTACTATTACTACTTTTTATGGCGTCCAACCTCCTCTTACACTACTACTACTACTACTACTACTAATAATAATAATAATGATAATCTCATCTAAGTTATCAACAACAAAGTAGAATCATTGTTCGCCCTAAGAGGTACACAAAATCCCGTAGATTGTGGGGATCTGTTCGCTCGAGGCACGCCGTGACGTCACTCTCCCAGTGGAATAAGTGGGACAAAATCATTGAAAGTTTAAGTCCTCGGGGGATCACTGGGGCGGTCCTTAAGTACATTATCAAGGGACCAAACTCCATCCTAAACTACTATTATAATTCCTAGTAGCTGATTGGTTCCTTAACTACCATCAACTGCTTCGATTGGTGGTGGTTGCTGAGGTCACCAAATAAAGGGGAGGAGCTTGATAGGTAAGTAACTCTGTGTTTATGTAGCTGACTGACTGACTGATTAACTGACTGACTAGCAATCCCTAAAACCTATAATCTCTAATCCTATAATATCAATCCCTAATCCCTAATCCAACTCACCTGTATCGACGACGTACTCCTTAATGCCCGCGAGCCACGAATCCCTAATCTCAGGTGTTCTGGCCTCGATCAAGATGGGGTAGTTAGGATGACTGAGGGATTCTATGTGGAAGAACTCGAGAGCTTTGGGCTGGTCGAGACTCCCTAATGATGTTTCTGGGAGCTGTGAGGGAGGAGAGATAGACACAAATTAGAAAATTGAAATAGAAATTGAAAGTGGAATTGTAGGGTTGATTTGAGAAGGAAGAGAAAGGAGAATTAGAAGAAGAATCGTAATGACAATATTCCCATAACAACAACAATAATAATAATAATAACCTCAATCAACTTACCAATAAACTAAAGATCAATTATTGTTAGCCCTAAAGAGACACAGATCACCTAAAACAGAGAAGGTGACCTGCTAGCCTAGGGTACGCCGTGACGTCACTCTCCCAGCGATACAAATAGGGCAGAAACATATAATAGTTTATGTCCCCTCAAGTGTCGCTGGGTTAACACATTATATTAATTTATTGGTAAAGAGAAGTTGAATTGTGATATGCTCTCTCTCTCTCTCTCTCGCTCTCTCTCTCTCTCTCTCTCTCTCTCTCTCTCTCTCTCTCTCTCTCTCTCTCATTCAATAACCAGACGGCCTCGAGGTCAGAGCTTCAAGTGAGAGGTGAAACTTGAGGAAGAGCACGAAACAGGAAGTCCCCACCCCCACCCCCCCCTCAGCCACGATTTGGCGCGCTTTACGTTCCTCATCCCTCATTGGCTACTGACGTTGGAATCTTTCTCCTATAATTGGCTAAGAGAGTGAAAACAAAAAAACCCGCTAGATGTTACAAGTAGTTTCTCGTCTGATGATTGGTTGAAAAAAAAACAAAAAAAACGCGCCGGGTGATTGTCTGATCTCCCATTGGTTATCTCTTCTTTTAAGCGTAACTAAGTAAACAGAGAGAGAGAGAGAGAGAGAGAGAGAGAGAGAGAGAGAGAGAGAGAGAGAGTTATCTTGAGAACGTCCTTGGCCGAGGTTCTTGCAAAACAATGGATGACTTGGCTGCCCAATGACTGTATGCAGAGTGTCTGTGTTTATATGAACATGTACCAGGACCTAACAAACCACCTGTCTGTCTGTCTGTCTGTCTGTCTATCTCGCATGGTCGTTAAGCTGTAGGTCAAAGGTCAGAGTTATACGGCCTCATAAAACTCTGGGTAATATTATGAACATGTTTACAACCCGTACTGAGTGGCGACCTCTTAGCTACAGAGAAAGAGAAAGAGAGAGAGAGAGAGAGAGAGAGAGAGAGAGAGAGAGAGTGAACAAGTGAAGCAGAGAGATTCAGTGTGTGTGTGTGTGTGTGTGTGTGTGTGTGTGTGAAATGTAAAACTACTTGTGTATTTGTATCCGGGTTTCCTCACCTCTCTCTCTTCCCCTTTCCTCACCTCTCATTCCCTATGATTACGTTTATCGCCTCACGTCAGCCTTCCCCTCTCTCCCCTCACTTTCCTCCTCTCTTCTCCCCTCACCCCTCATCTCTTTTATTATCTCATTTCCTCTTCCCTCGTCTATATTATCACCTCTTTTCCCCTCCCTCCCACCCCCTCTCCTCTCTCTCTGTCTCCTCTCCTGTGTCTGGACAAGGAAAGGTCGATCAGAGAGAGAGATAGGAGAAGAGAGAGAGGAGTGTGAGGGAGGGTGTGTGTGTGTGTGTGTAAGAGGTGCCAACATTCCTAGGTGGCTCTCAAATCCCCCAGGGGCACTGTGCCAGTACTCTCTCTCTCTCTTTTATTCTTTGTCTTCTTCACCTATTATTATTATTATTATTATTATCATTACGAAACAGGAGAGAGAGAATATGGAAAAAATTTGTCCCTTCCAAAGTCCTTTAATTCACACACCTCATTAAATAATCCTAATGTTATCTTCTTTTTCTCTCCTACTTCCCGTTTTCTATTCTCAAGTGAGTAATAAAAAAACGGGATATCTCTCCTTCCTTAATGGAGGGTAAACTATTTTTGACGGCCCCATAATTTTTTTTTACGGCGAGTAGACGACTAACTGATGATCATGTAGAGTCTTCTTACGTACACACACACACACATACACACACACACACACACACACACACACACACACACACACACAGGAGGAAATGTCTGAACTACATCTCGACAATTACTGTAAGGTGACTCCACTCGTATTGACTGACTCATGTTATCTGTCTGTTTCATTCAGTCTCTCTCTCTCTCCCAAAATAAGAGAATAACACCTCCTTCAGTTCGTGACAGTCATGAGAATATGAGACTAATGTGTGCTGTCATTGTCACGGGGCCAGCGAGTTGACTGTCTGCATTCCTTACTCCCCTTCCTTCCCTCCCCTTTACCCCCCTTCCTCCCCCTTTACCCCCCTTCCTCCTCTTTACCCCCCTTCCTCCTCCCCTTACTCCCTTTCCTCTTCTCCACTTACCTCCTTACTTCGTCCCCCTTCCTCCTTCCCCCTTACCCCCTTCCTCCCTCCCGCCGCGCCTCCCGCACTAGAAGTAGCCCCCCACACGTGTAACATCTGTGATCGACTCTGCCGGTCCCGTATCGGCCTCTTTAGTCACCTCAGAACTCACCAACGAAGGCGACATCCTTAGTAACTCATATTATTGTATCATAGCTGGATGATCGTCATACTCGATTACCAGTGACAGCAAAGTTTGTTTGTATGTCTGTATGTCTACCCAGCAGTAATTGGGGACCTGGATGTTAATCGATTTGTGGATCGTGTTCCGGGATAATGGTTAGCCAGTGCAGTTGGCGAGTTGTCCGGTCTTCTCGGACTATTCCTTGACACTGGGTAATGCAACTTGTTAACTCAGGGTGTGGTTGTTGTGTTAGCGACAGCTTCTACACCTTAAGCAAATTCACGCCTAGGTGGCCCTTGGGCAGACCATCCTCGTTACACGAGGGGCAACCATTATGTATGTATGTATGCATGTATGTATGTATGCATGTATGTATGTATGTATGTATGTATGTATGTATGTATGTATGGCGGGATTCCAACGTCGCACACCTTGACATATATATACCTGAGGCCGACGTTAATAAGATCACGCAGGTGTTGTGTAAATTAGTCCAAGGTCAGGCAGAAATAACCAGTTCACACACACACACTCACACACACACACCACACCACCACACACACACACACACACACACACACACACACACACACACACACACACACACAATATGACACCTAAAGACGACGATAAAGACGATGACCCTAACATATCGTCCTGAGATTATAAACTTAACTTCAAACACATTACGTAAGCGAATAAACACAAATCCTACATAATCCCCTAAAATCCCCTAAAATCCCGAGAAATGGATAATCTTTCATTCATTATACATTCAGACACTTAATGGAATCTAGAGGAAATAGCGGAAATATAACGGACTAATCATTAAGACGTTATTGACACAGGTAAGCAGGTATGGGCGGCACTATCAGGTAAATTAAGAATCAGCTGTTTTGTGTTTACATCTGGAGCTCATGACGTCAAAGGCCACAACTGATGTCACAAATCTATAATTATTTATTCCCTAAATTCTATAAACTACTTGAAATTCCTCCAATTGTTTTTTTTATTACTCTTCAAACATTTTTTTCCAAACATTCCCGTGTGTATAATATCAACAACTATCCAGGAAAGGCAAGAAAATAACCCCGTATTATGGAGTGTTGACAGAATCAGAACAGTGTCAACAAACAACCTCATCCCGGAGTTTATTTTAGCGACAATTTTATGAGGGAGGGGAATTTAGCGGCAGAATTTCATATAAAGAGGATGATAAGATAGGATTATAAACCTTATATACCCTGACACTAGAGTAGATATTACCATGCGTGGGGAACCAAACTTGACTCAAAATACTGAAGCAACACGCAAGTTATAATTAATGACGCAAAACAGAGAGAAAAAATATATAAAAAATTCAGGGTATAATAATTTTCTCATTGGACAGTTTTATAAGAACAATATAAAGCCTTTATTAACAATCTCACCAGTTAAAAAGACTAATTAAGACTCAGGTAATTCCTCACACACACACACACACACAACTGACATACCTACAGAAACTTCATTATCAATATACAGTAAAAAGACATCTGGCTCCTACATACCCTACATAAGACATCTGGCTCCTACATACCCTAAGACATAAGACATCTGGCTCCTACATACCCTAAGACATAAGACATCTGGCTCCTACATACCCTAAGACATAAGACATCTGGCTCCTACATACACTAAGACATAAGACATCTGGCTCCTACATACCCTAAGACATAAGACATCTGGCTCCTACATACACTAAGACATAAGACATCTGGCTCCTACATACACTAAGACATCTGGCTCACTGGTACTCACTCGGATGATGTCCTTAAGGATGAAGACAGATCGATCCTCACCAATACGCCTGACCTTGGTGATGAGGATCCTAGCCTTGAAGAGAAACAGGTATCTGTCTCTAGCCTTCTGACCCGCCTCTCTTACGCTGAACCAATCCTGTAGGAGTGAGAGAGTGAGAGAGTGAGAGAGAGTGAGAGAGAGAGAGAGAGAGAGTGAGAGAGAGAGTGTGAGAGTGTGAGAGTAAGAGAGTGAGAGTGAGTGAGTGAGAGAGAGAGAGAGAGAGAGAGATTAATCGTGTGTTTGAGAAAGTAATTGAGAGTGAGAGTGTGTGAGAGAGAGAGAGAAAGTGAGAAAGAATAAGTATTTTATTAGAGAAAGAAATAAAGAAAGAAAAGAAACAGATAATCAAAATAAAAAAATATACTCAACTTCATTTACTTATTAATTTCACATGTACTCAACAGTTGGACTCATCCCACTTTATGTACTCACGTCCCTGTACTCATCCTGATTGACTCATCCTTCCTAACTCACCCCTCTGACTCACCCCTCCTACTGACCTACTCCAACTAACCCATCCATACTGACTCACCCGAATGACTCATCCTTCCTAACTCAACCCCCCTGACTCACCCCTCCTACTGACTCACTCAACCAACACATCCATACTGACTCACCCTTCCTGACTCACCCCTCTTGACTCACTCCAACTAACCACAATACTGACACACCTCTCATGATTCAACCCAACTAAACCATCCATACTGACTCATACCATACTGACTCATACCATACTGACTCATACCATACTGACTCAACCCAATGTTTACTCACGTGTCTGATGAGTCGCCCAAGCTTGAACAGGTTACCCTTAAACCCTTCAATAGAGCTGATGAACTTAGCGTCTGTCGCCCTCTGAGGGAGACTTTGCATCAACTCATAGGCGCGTTGAAGGTCAGCTGTGTCGTCACCAAGCTTAGTGCTGAACTTGACCAGCTCCTGTGGGGGTCAGAGGTTAAAGTTGAGTGTTATTAGAGGAAGGTCAGGGGTCATAAGAGGAAGTTTTGTGTTATAGGAGGAGGGTCAGAGGTCATAGGAGGATAGTTAAGAATCATAGGAAGAAGGTCAGGGGTTATAGGAGGAAGGTGAAGGTCAGTAAGGTCGAGCTAGGAGGAAGGTTGTATAGGAGGAAGGTCAGGGCTATAGGAGGAAGGTTAGAAGACAATGAAGGTCAGTCATGGGATGAAGGTCAAGGGTGGGAGGAAGAGGTCATACTTAATAGGTAAAAAGAAAAATACACCTCTAGGAGTACAAATACCCCCCTAGGAGTGACAAATACACCCTTTGAGGACAACACCCCTAGAGGACAAATACACCCCTAGGAGGACAAATACACCCCTTGGAGGACAAATTCACCCCTAGGAGGACAAATACCCCTAGGAGGACAAATATACCCCTGAGGACAAATACACCCCTGAGGAGGACAAATACACCAACCAGGAGGACAAATATACCCCTTGGAGGACAAATACACCCCTGAGGAGGACAAAATACCCTTGAGGACAAATACACCCCGAGGAGGACAAAACACCAACCAGGAGGACAAATATACCCTTTGAGGACAAATACACCCGAGGGAGGACAAAATACCCCTTGAGGACAAATACACCCCCGAGGAGGACAAATACACCCCTAGGAGGACAAATATACCCTTGAGGACAAATACACCCTGGACAAATACACCTTGAGGACAAATACACCCTGAGGAGGACAAATATACCCTTTGAGGGACAATACACCCGAGGAGGACAATATACCCCTTGAGGACAAATACACCCCTGAGGAGGACAAATACACCACCAGGAGGACAAATATACCCCTTGAGGACAAAACACCCAGGAGGACAATTCTGGGAATAAGAGGAGGACAAATACACCTAGGAGGGACAAATATACCCTTGAGGACAAATACACCCTGAGGAGGACAAATATACCCCTTGGAGGACAAATACACCCCTGAGGAGGACAAATACACCCCTAGAGGACAAACTTTGGAGGACAAATACACTGAGGAGGACAAATATACCCCTTGGAGGACAAACACCCCCGAGGAGAAGGGACAAATACTTGGAGGACAAATACACCGAGGAGGACAAATACCCCTTGAGGACAAACACCGGGAGGACAAATATACCCCTTGAGGACAAAACACCCCGAGGAGGACAATATACTTAGACAAATACACCCCGAGGAGGACAAAACACCCCTAGGAGGACAAATACATCCCTAGGAGGACAAATACACCCCTTGTAGGACAAATACACCCCTAGGAGGACAAATACACCTAGGAGGACAATATACCCTTGAGGACAACACACCTAGGGAGGACAAAACACCCCTAAGAGGACAAATATACCCCTTGGAGGACAAATACACCCTTGAGGACAAAACACTCCCCTAGGAGGACAACACACCCCCTAGAGGACAAATATACCCTTGAGGACAAATACACCCCTAGGAGGACAAATACATCCCCTAGGAGGACAATATACCCCTGAGGACAAATACACCCCTTGAGGACAAATACACCCCTAGGAGGACAAATACACCCCTAGAGGACAAATATACCCCTTGAGGACAAACACCCCCGAGGAGGACAAATATACCCCTAAGAGGACAAATACACCCCTTGGGAGGACAAATACACCCCTAGGAGGACAAATACCTTCCCCTAGGAGGACAAATACACCCCTTGGAGGACAAAACACCTCTTGGAGGACAAATACAAACCACACTAGGAGAACACCCACACCCCTAGGAGAACACCCACGCCCCCAGGGAGAACACCCACGCCCCCAGGAGAACACCCACGCCCCCTAGGATAACACAGGACGTACCCGTAGAAGGAGCTGGTAGTCGTTAAGCCGCTGGATGGGAAGTTTCAAGTGTTCCTGAAGACGTTTGTCGTCCCCGAGCTTCTGACTGTAGTCCTGTAGGGGCGAGGGAGAGGTGTGCACTGGGTTAGGTCCTGGTAAATGGGTAGTTTGTGGTGGGTTGTGGTAGTTTGTAGTGGTTTGTGGTAGTTTGTGGTAGTTTGTGGTAGTTTGTAGTGGTTTGTGGTAGTTTGTGGTAGTTTGTGGTAGTTTGTAGTGGTTTGTGGTGGGTTGTGGTAGTTTGTAGTGGTTTGTGGTAGTTTGTGGTAGTTTGTGGTAGTTTGTAGTGGTTTGTGGTAGTTTGTGGTAGTTTGTGGTAGTTTGTAGTGGTTTGTGGTAGTTTGTGGTAGTTTGTGGTAGTTTGTGGTAGTTTGTGGTAGTTTGTAGTGGTTTGTGGTAGTTTGTGGTAGTTTGTAGTGGTTTGTGGTAGTTTGTGGTAGTTTGTAGTAGTTTGTGGTAGTTTGTGGTAGTTTGTGGTAGTTTGTAGTGGTTTGTGGTAGTTTGTGGTAGTTTGTGGTAGTTTGCGTTAAGTTTATATACAAACAGTATATACATAATATTATATTATACATCATCATCATCATTATCATCATCATTATCATCATCATCATCATCATTATTTTGGTAAGAGTTTATTTTTATTTTGCAGACGTTTTTTCTTCTGTCTGTCTGTCTGTCTCACTTGAGTAATCGACGTTTACTCGTCATTATTTCAGCCAATCAGTGCCCACCGGACGTTTTGTTTACCTCGGCGTATTTCCAACCAATCAGCCTTCAACTCTGACGTCATAGATCGTAGATTATATTCTTATTGGCTGTTCATGGATGTTTTATTGTTTGTTTTTGGCCACGGTTTCGGATTCGTTTAGGTTAGAGTACGTTAGAGTACGTTAGAGTACGTTAGAGTACGTTAGAGTACGTTAGAGTACGTGTATAAATAGAAGTTTATGAAAGATATGAACTAATTAGAGTTAACTTCATGAGACATAACTTATCATAATTTAACTTAGCTTAACTTAATCTAACTTACCAAACATTTTTTTTCTTACCATTCCTTCCCTCCCTATAACCCACCAACCTCTCTCTCTCTCTCTCTCTCTCTCTCTCTCTCTCTCTCTCTCTCTCTCTCTAATGAACTAGGGTGTGTTTATATAATGGATTCTAATGGGACAATTCTTCCCGGTGTTCAATGTTAATTAAAGACTAAAACAACGAACAAATGTCAATAACTCACTGCATGGCTGTTAACGAACCCTACATAACGAACCCAACATAACGAAACCAACACCAGAAACACCAACGTAACGAACCCAACATAACGAAACCAACACCAGAAACACCAACGTAACGAACCCAACATAACGAACCCAACACCAGAAAACACCAACGTAACGAACCCAACATAACGAAACCAACACCAGAAACACCAACGTAACGAACCCAACATAACGAACCCAACACCAGAAACACCAACGTAACGAACCCAACATAACGAAACCAACACCAGAAACACCAACGTAACGAACCCAACATAACGAAGCCACTATATCTACACATACATACAAACACACATACATGCCATAGGCTTATTTACGTACATTTTGTAGTTTTATAATGAAGACAAAGTTACTGTACCAATAACTGTAGCTGTAGAAATGTCTCACTGTAGTCCCTGTAGGGTGAAACAATAACCGAAGCACTTATGGCATTTCAGTACTCAAGTGGGTTGTGTAATGAGACAATCTGCTTGTTAAGGATAATTAGTGGTGGATTATGATAGTGAGGATATATTTCAGATAAGACCGTGAACCAGATCGATTAAGTGATATGGGACTGGATATATCTCAATGGATAACCCGATAACAAGTCTAAATAACCCTAGATAACAAAGTACAACCGGATAATACATCAAACAAGGCCGGATATACCCTAAAGTAAACACCATATATCATCAGGAACCCCGGATGGCCAAGATAAGACCGGATACAAGGCCGGATATACCCTAAAAAAACAGAAGAAACGAGACGGTTCCTAAGCGCCGGGAAAAGCATCATCTGGCAATGAGAGGATCCCCAGGTGTGCCAACCTATTACAGGTGAGAGTCAGGGCTGCACAACATTCCCGACCTCTCACGTTATCTTGATATAAGGCAAAGAAAAACAGTAAAAAAAAAAAATTATGTGTCTGTTTTCTCTTAAAGGAAAATATTATTACATCACCTGAGATTAAATTGTATGAATCTTGAGTATAACGTCATGTAAGTAATGTAAATTTAATGAAAATATTATCACCACTTATACCATCGTCACTTATACCACTTACACCACTACTGATACTACTTAGATCACTTATACCACCACTTACTTCACTTAAACCAGATTATAACTAGGGTAGACTAAGTGAAATGTGAAGGGTAATCCCCGTAGATTTATATAGATTATTGCCATAAATCAACAATCAAATGAGACACTGATCGAGTATCGTGGGCTCGTCTGTAGTGTTGTGTTACAGGAGTACCCAGTTCGAACCCTTAGAGAGAGAGAGAGAGAGAGAGAGAGACAGAGAGAGAAAGAGAGAAAATAAGAGAGAGAAAATAAATTTGTTCATTTTTGAGATGAGACAAAAATTATCTCATTAAGTCCCCCGAAAAAAAAACATAAACTGAAAACCAGAAAAAAAAGTGACGAACGCTTCCATGACCTCCAACCAAAACATAAAGAAACATTCGTACAAGACCTAAAAAAAATTATCTAAAATCCCCACAAGTATTTAATTAACTCCCAAAGTACACGTAGTTTTTGTCTCGTGTTTCTATAGGGATCTGTCATGTACATTGTAAGAGATTAACAAACCGCTGTGTCAAGTTTTATTTTTAATTTTTTTTTCGTGGTTAGATGAATGCCAGGTCGAGATGGTCCGAATTTTTGGCGTCAACCCAGACCCCAGCGAGTGACCTTGTCCGAAACTGTCCACTTGAACTTATTATCAACGTTTTGGGCTTCCAATTCTTTTTATCAATATTAAAAAAACAAAAAAGTTTCCTCGACGTGTGTGTCTGAAATTTACATGCATGTATTTAAAAAAAAACTAAACTAGTAAACGTATTCTGACTATTTTTTTTTTATACCTGTTACAAGAATTGAACGATACATTTAGGCATATATCGTATTCTTAAGGTCATTTTAAAGTTTAGGTTAGGTTAGGTAAGGTTAGGTAAGATGTGTGTGTGTGTCTGTGTGTGCGTGTTTTTATCAGCCGTCATGTGAGAAGTATTACCTCAGTAGAGAAGACTTGTACGAAACACAAAGTCCTTCCCTGTTTCCTCATGCCTGGCACGCGGGGGAAATGTCTCTGGGTTCGTACACTGCCGCCACCCTAGCTCACACACACACACACACACACACACACACACACACACACAGATATAGAACCCAACATTGACACGTAACTTGATACTGACCGCCGGACCTTCCCAACCTGTTATCTACCCACTTATCTACCTTAATCTACCTTAATCTACCTTTATCTACTCCGTCAACGACTTATCTTGGGCGCAGACAGAGGTAGATATTTCTGTTAACAGGAGGAGAGTTAGGTAGAGGTGTACAACAGGAAGTCTTGAGACAATACCGGCGCTGGCAATGGTTTCTGGCAGCCCTTGTGTGTACGTGTGTGGGTGTGTGTGTGTACGTGTGTGTGTGTGTGTGGCTCTATATACACACCTTGGTAACACTACACCCTGTGGGCTACACCTTAGAAGCCAGTACACCCATGTATTACTTGTGACACCTCTTACACTGTCACCCCCCTCCCCTCTCACCCCCCTCCCCTCTCACCCCCCTTCCTCAACACCCCCCTCACTCCTCCTCACAACACCTTATACACCTACACACCTGCATTCCACAGGTAAGTATACCTTTGTCTTTCCTGTGATACACCTCTCCCTGAGTTGAAATACATACATACTGTACATACATACACACATACATACATACATACATACATACATACATACATACATACATACATACATACATACATACATACATACATACATACATACATACATACATAGCTCCCCACACACACACGGTAATTAGCGCGCCTCAATAAGAAAGTGACCACAGCAATATATTTTTAAACACACTCAGACGGACACACTCCAGTTCTCAAAGGTTCGCTTGTCGACGTTTCCTTGTAATAAAAGATGCAAGAATGTGTTTAATTGGTTGACTAAAGCTAAACCGTCAAATTAACTACTGAAATGGCATCAGTAATTCAGTATTACATTCAGACTCTACCTTAACTTGATACCTTCACTGAGCACCAGTTAGGAGACAAAATTAACACGAAGACTCTACCTTAACTAGATACGTTCACTTTAACACCAGATGTTGAACAAATTAAATTAACTCAAAATATGAATGAACTCTACACTTAGGCTGTCATAACTAATGAATCAATTTTAGCCACAAATCATTTATATCTTTAGGGCGAACTGTGGCTCTCAAAAGTCCAATTTACACAAGAAAACAAAATTAAATATCTGCAGTATGTTATTAGACACTGTTACTGAGTGATAGTGTAGAGAAACATATCTGAAGGAAAGAAGCAATGGCGGGATGTACGTTCGCCTTCAATTATACCTGGTACAGTATCTGGCGCGTTGGTGTGAGATATGACAACGTTGTGTTTGTTTACATCGTGTTAAAACTACCAGAATGACCCCTAAGGAATCTTGCTATAGGAATGATAGATAGATAAGCCTTCTTACACTCAACATGAAAATAAACCAACTTGAAAAAATATCCTTATAACAGGTTCATATATTAATGTGAAAAAACTTACAACTTACCTAAACAATGACAGAATTATAACACCAAATATAACCCGGACATAATACTAAAACTCCACTGTAAGGAAATAGAAAGAAATTGCCAATCGATCCTTTGAGAATCTATTAATGTGCTATAGGCTCAGTGAGGTTAAATGAGTCAATTAAACACATTCTTACAATAACAATTAGCGAGGGATAATGTGTTGGGAATCTCTGAGAA